TTAAACTGGAGAAGAACCACTGAATGTACCTTTTAAAGCCAGGTACTGAAGGCCTGGATGGTGCTAATGAGCAGTGAGAGCCTTTTAAGGAACTGAAACGTTGCATTGTTATGATTTGTGAAACAAAAGCTGAATAAGAACTGTAACACTTAACTATGGCATCCCACTTTATTTTTCTCTAATGCAGGCTAAGCTGCCTTACAGCAATCTTTTAATGTAATGATTGAGACCATTATAGGAAATACTATACAAAGCAACATTTTTTTTTGCAGCCTAAATAATAAGTAGGGCAAGATTTTAAATGAGGCTAGAGTAATGAATGCTGTACAATAATTTTGATGATAAATTTCCCCGGAGGATAAAGTGGAAGAACAGAAGCAGGCTGTATTTAATCATGCAAAGTTAAAGGAATGGAGACCAACAAATATTTATAGAAATGTACGGATTTTCTAGCCTTCTCTGAGATATTCTTGCCCTTTTCACCTCAGAGACTTAGCAGGAATTCAGGTCTTTCGGTGTGTAATAATTAGAAGGAGGAATTGATCACGTAGGGTCAAGTGTTTCTTTGATGTAGTGCACAGAAATTCCTGCTTCCTTGCAGGCTGGAGGACTCAAACAGTAAGACATTTGTTTTCCACAGCTATTTCATTCATCAGTGAGTCTGAAAAGCTTGCTTTGAGCAGATACACAGCATGGGATGACATATTCTGCAGCTGCTCTTCACCTAGTACTGACCCAAGTAGGTGTGTCCCCTCCGCAGAGCAGGGCACTGTGTGAAGATACCAATTCCCAAAGCAGTACAGTTGCCTTTGTGCAGTTCCACGTGCAGAATAAGAAAATGCCTGTGAACTGCATTGCAGGGATGAGATCTCAGCTGCCATGTGCTGAGCAAGCTCAAAATCTTTGCCCCGTGCTCCATCACCAGGCACAGACCTGCCCTTCCCATGCCTGTACCAAAGGCCATCTGTCCTCCTCTAAGCTGTGGTTTCTTCTGGTCTTTGCTGTTTGTCTTGAGGAAACAAGCACGACTTCAACTTCAAAAACTAACAGATAGACAAAAAGTCACCGCTCACATCTGTCTTAGCATGTTCCTGGTTGTTCTGCACAGGTGCATGTGGCTGTGGTAGAGTTAGGCAATCACTCCATAAAGTGTAGGGTTGTGTTGCTTTGTGCGTTTTTTAAAAAATAACTGTTAAAGGTACAGCATTTCAGTGGACTTCAGCTCAACCTATAATAGTATTCACTCAGCAGAGGCAAAAACCTGGAGATTTCTGTTCTGCTGATCAATACTTAAAGCATATATTGATTTCCAATTTAAGTGTTAACTTTTTAGCTCTTAGAAGTGCTCTTGATATCAATTTTCACCTTGCCTGATGTTCATTATATGCTGAACGTTATGACAGCGAGTAAGCTCAGATCCCATCTGGAGAGACAATTAGTTCTAGTGACTTCAAGATTGCAATGTGCAAAGATTTACGTGTCCTGTGTAAGCATTGTGGTAGCATGACATATCTCTGTTCGAGGCAATGACCTGAGAAATGCTTTCATTCTGGCCTGGCACAGCCTTCCTCTAGTTTCTTAGTCTGCGCAGTCATCTCTGAAATCATAGAATAAACTAATAAATAGCTCTGTTTATTACATTCATGTTGTTTCAGCATAATAATTCATAGCCAATGAGCCCAAGGTTCAGGGCTCAGTTTGCTGGGTGGCTGGGCTTTGTTTAAACAATAAGACACACATGATAAGCAGTGTGATTATGCCTCCAGTAGTGTTAGGAGGCACAAGGTCAAAAGGCTCAGTGACTTTAACTACCTGAGAAGTGCCGTGTAATCCCCTGCAAATGGGCTGTCTACAATGTCTTATTGCTGTATCAGAGAGGGAATTATTTCTTTTTAAAGGCAGCCACATGAATTCCCTCTGTAATTGGCACAGGGCTGACATCATTGGCTGCCAATCAGAAATCCTCTTTGTCTTGGATTTTAACACCTTAATTTCAAGTTCAGGTCATCTGAACAAACGGATTTTGTTAAAATGATGTTTTATCCTCTTTGTGCTCTGAGTCCCATCTGCTTGCTTTGTGCTCTGTGTGTGTGTTGTGAATTGCTCTGCAGTAGCTTTTGTATCATCATCAGGCACTAAACAGTGACTGCAAAGTCTTTGCAGAGCTGGTGACATGGGAGCCATGGCCTGACTTGTAGTGCTTAGAACATTACTTAGGAACTCAAGGGAGCAAGGGGAGCAGGTAAGAACCTCAGGATGTGGACAGCGTGGCTGCGATTTCAAAATCAATGCGTAGCCATCAAATTCTTTCAGCCTAGCACTGTCTTTTCCTTTTTATTGGCAAACATAACATCAAAATAATAAAATCATCCTGATTTAGAGTTATTGTTGATAAAATAAGTACACATGGGTCACAGCTTTACTAACCTGAGCAGATGAGGAGCAGGCCATGAGGATACTGTTTATCCTGGTTATACTGCAAGGACTGTAGGCAGTTGCTGCTGTTTTTGAAGGGGAGTGAGAGATCCCAAATGGAGAGATTTCCCCTTGTTTCTTCCCACTTTAAGCCCCAACAGAAGCGAAGATAAAGGCACAGCCTGGGAAGTTCTCAGCAGCCCCTTGGGCTGCTTTCATGGGCTTCCAGCCAGCAGCTGCTCCTTCAGAAGGGGAAAGGAAAGCCTGCATGAAATCCTATGGTCCATCCCAAAGAATGTTTTTCCTTTGGGTAAATGGAAGCAGATGCCAAAGGTCATGGCTTCTCTGTGTCTCAGTCAACCAGTGGGTGGGATGAGAACATCTGCACATGGGGAGTGCCAAATCCACGGTCGAGGGAATGCTGTGGAAGTTGCTGTTCAGTTGTAGTGGGTTTTAGGGACAAAGCAAGAGGAATCATCATCCTGTCAGAGGGCAAAAATTTGACAAATAGTTTTAAAGGCTTAAAATAAATCTATCTTCATAACCTGACTGATGTACTTTTCTCCTTAGGTATGTTATAGAGGTAATGATACCTCTACAGTGAACTCAATTAACCTTCTGCAGCCTTCTGTGTGACAGGGACTCCTAAATCTCCTATTTTATGAGTGCATGTGCAAAATTTGAAGCTACTCTGAACTTAGCATTAATGAATGCCATTTCCTAATTGGTGCCCATTTGATTGTTTGTTTGGTTTTTTTCCAGTGAGAAAGACATGGTGGCTGTGAGTGGGATGTAGTGTTTGTGGCTGAGAAGAGATTTCCACACAGGAGTGAGGTAACTTATTATTATTATTATTATTATTATAATTATTTTGAGAATCTGGTGGTTTGTGTGGATATCTTTGGAGTTTCCATTGTTCAGTGATGTTATAACATGATCTTGAGGAATTTAGCTTTGGTTCTCTATGTGGTTTTTTGTATAAATGATCATCCATTGACAATAAGAACAATGTAACTCTCCTCTGTCTGATACCCAGTGCATTTCAAGTGTCCTTTAGAAGTGCTATGGGTAAATATATAGGAAAAAAACCCTGTGTATTTAGGCTTCCATGGCTCGATTTCCCTACAAATCTCCCCTCTGCTCTGTGATACATTCTAGTATGTGCACATCACATCAGGAGACTCAGTAGTGTTCGCTCCTGCCTGGCTTCTGAGATCTTTGCATGAATACATGCTATACAGAGTGAAATGTTTCATCTGGGAGGGAGGATGTCAGCAATAAATGAGAAAACAAGAGAAATGGATGATGCCCCATAATGCATACCCTATAATATAATCATTGTTGTTTGATAAAAGAGACACTTGGAGCAACTCTCCGTGCCCTGCTAGGTATGTCTGGATTTATTATTCAAAAAGGCACAATCAAATCTCTTCATTCCGTTGACAAATGGGTGCTATTCAATTCCGTATCTGCCTCTTATTTATAGCATATAGAGGGGTGATTTATATGCTGGCTGCAGATCTTCCAAAACAGTTTTAATTAGCAGCATTGGCTATTAGAATGAGAGTCCTGTAGTTTCCCTGTAATATGCATCCCCTTAAAGCTAAACAGGGATTTTACTCTTTGCCAGGCAATGCCTCTCTATTTTTTTGTAATTCCAGCAGGAAAATGTATGTGTGCTTTAGCAGTGAAGGTTGTATTCCTGTTTGCAGCTCCAAGGGGCAGGCAGCGGAGGTCAAGGAAAGTAATGCCATTTATTGCTGAGCCTTGGGGAAACAGGGCAATCCTTGGGGCATCAGCACTGACTAACAGCACACGGGAGCTTGCAAATATCAGGGACTTGGTTTTGAGGACAAAGTAAGCACCAAAGACACCAAGGCCAGCTGCTCAGGCTGCCAGCAGGAGCATTTTGGGATTCTGCTCTGAATTTCTGTGTGCTTGGAGGAACTGAGAAGGCAGGAGCCTCCATCTCAGTGTGTCCTATGGTTGGAATGTTCACAGTGTTGTTTTTGCTATGTGCACTGTCTGAGGGTGTAAGCAACCATTCCCCCAGCTGTTCCTCATCCACAGAGCTGCTCTGGCTCGTGGGCTAATTGGTACCCCTGAGGTACAGAGCAGAGGCAGCCACAGCACGGGGGCCAGCTCAGTAAAGGCACTAGTTTGAGTCTCTATTATTTTCATGCATCTGATAGGAATGTGATCCCTTTGAGACCTCAGCCTATCTGTCAAACCTGAGATCAGCCAACAGGTTCAAAAGTTATTTGGGGAAGCAATGACTGACAGAACAATTGCACGTCTCTTGTTTTTTTCCTGAGAAACCAGGCTAAAAAGCGCAGGAAACATAAAGAGTATTTTTTGTGCTTTATGCAGTGTGTGTTGCATGCAGAATGGTCTGTTGTTATGCTTCCACTGATCTCTTTTTGACATAAGCAATGCAGTCATTCTGTCTTTGCATCAAATAAGTCTTTGTACTACTTGTCACCAGCTCACAGTGTCTCTGTATGTGTGTAAACTTGGTGTTTGCTACATCCCCTCATGACTACTGTGCTGCTGCCTGCAGCTGGGTGGTTCTGCTCCCTCTCTGCTGCTTTACAGCAGCTCTGTCAGTGACATTTACTCTGGAGAGTAAGAAAACCTTAGAAAATCTGAAGTTGGAGGTTGAAAATAATTTTAAAAGAGAGGACATGAGTACTGGACCTGGTCACAGATGCTTGATGTCTCTGCCTGTCCTTCCCTGGGAGGAGGTCAAGGAAACAAGGCACAGCTGAAAGAGAGGAGGCTGGATGAAGTTCATCGCTGCCCTGCAAACGTTGTGTCTGTGGTTCTTGGGAGACTGATGGGAAAATGAGGAATTAGGAAATGAAGACATAAAAAATCCTGCTAGAAACAAGCCTGAAATTAATGTGGTCAGAAGGAAGGAATAGAAATGATTCCTGTGGTTTGCAACTGGAAGATGATAGGCTCTGCATCCAGGACAGCATCACATCCACGGGTAATTCACAAATCTGGGAAAAAAATCACGGTTCTCTGGCTGAATACAAGTTAAATTTATTTTTTTAATCTGCAGAAGTTCTGTATAGGTATTTTATTTCCTTTTCTAAACATGTTGATAAAGCACATTAGTTAAGGAAGCTTTCAAATTATTAACATCTTTGGTTCTGTCTTTGAGCCAAGTGAGCAAGATTTGGTGAGCTGTCTTTGGATATTACACTAAGTGCTTTTCTACTGCAATTCTAATAGAGTGTAGGGCTGAATTTGATAGTGTTACCTATTAGTGATTAGAAAGTGAAGAGCTTTCAGTGTGTCTGTACTGCAGACACACTCTGATTGATAGATTAAGCATTATGCATTTAATATTTTTAAATTTTGCTTTAAAGTAATGGCATTCCTTCTTAAAATTCCTCTTTTCCCTAACATTTTGAAAACATTTTGATGGTGTGAATTGGGAAGAAAGAGGAGAGAGAACATTTTTACTCATAAACAGTGTTAAATATTAAATTGTACATTAGTCAGTGGTACAGGCTGAACTCTGCTGGAGAAAGGTACTTTTAAATTACAAAAATATTAACACTATAATTATTGAGCATGGATAATAGTTATGAATTATGGATCAGCCAGGTTAGCAAAGTCACGGCTACCTAATAGAGAAAGGTATGATGGGAACATGTGGGAAGATGATTGAGGATTCCCACTTAATGTTTTCATACGCTCTCCTCAGCAAAGGGGGCTGCAGCTCCTCTGCTGGTCCCAGAGAGCTGTGAAAGCTCACCAAGGGCTGGAGCATCACTGCCTGCGCTTCAATAGGACAGTCTCTGTGCCACGATGGCTTTTTGGTGGCCAGCCCAGCTGGAAGGCCCTTGGTGCTGAGCTCTGGGTGACACTGTCACTGACTGTCACCACTGAAAAGTCCTGGCATGCTCCAAGGCACAGAACCTGCAGCAGGAATTGCTGAAACTTGTAAGCCTTGTCTTCCTCAACAAGGCTGTGGAGGGTGGCAGTGATGCTGGAGGGTTAAGGACCAGGGTTCTGTCTTTGCTGGATAAAAATCATCTGGACAAAACAACTTCCTATCACCTCCTCTCAGTTCCCCTCACTGTAAATGAAGATACAGCCATGTCATACCTCTGCAACATGTGTTGACATCCATGAAGGGAAAGTGCAACCCCAAAGCACTCAGAGAATATCCTACTGCCAAGTGACTGTGACAGGAGTTCCAGCAGCACTCACTGTTAGGATATATATTTTTTTTCTCTGTGTCTGGAGGTTTGCTGTGACAAGAAGTCCTGCCTTATTCCTCTCCAGCTGTTGGTGTTAACCCACAGCTGCTCTTCTATCAGTTTTCCAGTTTGTATCTACCCAGCTTCTTGCCTTTTTTCCAGCCACAATTATTTTCTCCAGACAAAACCAGGGGCTTTTTTAATGTAATTTTTTATAGGAGAGCTGTAATATATTTGAATTGTTTGCCATAAACTTTTGAAATTCAGTGACCTTTGTTAATCAGGAAGGGGCTTTTTGAGGTCTACAGGCAGAATTAATCATATGTAAACTGTTTGCTTTAAAAAGTCTCTTACTGAATGTGGGATTTCACAGGTAGCCATGGAAAGGTCAGAGGCTGGAGGCAGAAGCTGGGAGCAGCTGGAGAGCACTGCAGGAGGACAAGCCTTCTCAGGGCAGGTTCAGAAGTAGGGAGAGACGTGTGCTAACATATGGTACTGGGGAGAACCCCTTGTAGTTTGAGAGACTGGCCTCAAGCCAGAAATTTGGAGTACCTAAGGAAACAGTACACAGACTAGTAGCAGTAGCCTTGGTAGCAGTGATTATGGGGACCTTCCAACTCTGGGTTGAACCCATGGAAGAAAAAGAGTTCATTAAGAAAAGGGCAATTGTCAAAAGAGGAACAGAGAGTGTCATTGATACCCTAAAGGCTGCAGTGTCTTGGCATACAGGGAATGCTAAGGAAGGTCTTTCTCTGAATTTTAGAGGACTCTGCCAAACCCCTTAATGTGGTTTTAATGTGTTTTCCTGTACTCAGTGGTGGTTTTTACCTGTGAGCCCTTGGCATGCTATGTTTCGATGAGGCTGATTTTGGAAGATGTCTCACAAATTAGGTGCACTGCAGTGAAGTGTTTGGTTTCCTACCATGCAGGTCTGTTGTTCATCCCCCTTAGCTTCTGCAGATGATGCAGTGGAGCCTGTTCTCAAACTTCTTTTCAGATTTTTATCATGTCTTGCATAATAATTGCATTTTGTGTGACAGACATTTGGAGGGTTTCATTCACAGAAACACATTGTGTGAGAGAAAGGGGAGTCTGCTGAACTTCTTTACCTAAACAAGAGGAGGACTCCTTTAGCACTGCTGGAGGGAGGGAGATGCCACCCCACCAGCCAACCATTTGCAACGTGTGCTTTTCACTAGGGATGTATTCAGGGCCTGATTTTAGGACCTTCCTCCAGGATGGCTCAGAGCCCAAGGGCTGCTCCAGGCTCATCCTGCAGCAGTGAAGCATGAGCTTTGCTCTTTCTCCTGATGATTAAAGAACACAGCTTTTCTTTAAAGAGTTAATTCCACAAAAACAGTAATGGAAAAGTTATGGACTAGAAACATTTCCATCCAATCCAGAAAGTCTGAATATGAATGATTTAAAGACTATGGGAAAGCATAAAGATGTTGAGGTGAATTTACTACTTTGTTCAGTACATAGATTGTGTGAGTGGTCTTCAGTATGAATTAAAGAAAGGTTCCAGTCATGAGATATTACAGTTTAATTCAGACATTAGTACAGTCAGAGAGAGGTCAGTAATGTATTGCACAACCGGATTGGATTTCCATACTGGATTGCACCTGTGATCTATATGGACAGTGCTGTGTCTGTCAGGAGAAATAATGTGATAGAGCATAATAGGCAGCTGTGGAAGGATTTACCTGGAGCAAGCTCTATCTGCTAATAGCTGGCTCATATCCCAACCCTAGCCGTGAGAGTTCATTGTTACAGTGTCCAATTGGATGTGAGTGAGGATGTTCTCCTGACCTTCATCAGTCTCAAGGCATTAATGAATCACTCACATCTGCCCCTTGTTCATACCAACCAGCAGCAAGTTCTGCAGGACAGTGTGTTTAAAGACACACAGAACTTTTTTGATAGGCAGTTTGAAATGCCATGCTGTCAGTCATCTGTTGCCACACTTTTGTACTGAGGAGATGGTATGTTACAGAGCCCAAGTTATTTTTGTTAAACCACTTGCCACTCAAGTATACTAACTCAATCAAGTATACTAACCCCCCATCAATTTTTATTCATCCCTTCTCCCAGTTGAAGAAGGTACTAGTTTTCTTTTCCTCTAAAAATATTTGCAGATGTTACCTAGGCTTTTTAACTGGTTTTTTCCTTTTTCCTTTTTGAGGTCAGGTGTGCCAGTTTCAGTCAAGACTGGATAAACTTCCTGGCTTGGTATTTTAAGTGTCATTTCTTGTTCCAGTCTCTCTAGATCTTTGCTTTGACTTTTGACCACTTCTGTTTGCAGACCTGTGACTAGCCTGGGGCTTTTATTTCTCCTAGAAAATGTGGAGGAAATAGAGGTGGCGGAGGAAGATCACTGTGCCTGTGCGATGTGTGTGCTAGATTTGTTTCAGCCTTCTGGAGACTTTCTTCCCCCCTGGTTTTTTCTCCAGTTTAAGACTTTCCAGCAATGGCTCTGATGTAATCCCAGTGCTCTGTCTCTTCCCATTTTTCGGCTGAGAAAGCTTTGCACTGTGTGTTACAGAGGCCATCAACCCGGGGTCTATTGCACATCAGCAGTCCGCTGGGTGTTTGCTGCTCTCTTTAGGAACAGCATTCCCAGAGCCGTGCCGTGAGGAGTGTAGAGAACAGATGGGCCAGGAAAGTACCTTGCTCTCGGTGGGTCTGGAGAATGAACTCATTATCCAGCCAGTGGTCTGTCACACCAGCCTCATTTACCAGCGGCTGGTGTAAAAAACAAACCCTGGAAAGCAGTGCCTGGCAGGGTGTGAGCGCAGTGGTGCCAGCACGGCGGTGTCAGTCAGTGAGCAGCTTGTTGGGTATGAGGGATAGGGAGGAAACCTGGGAAGGCAGAGAGTTACAAACAGGCATGAAACAGCTTCATAGAAATGACAGGAATACCGGCTTTTGGGAATTCAAAATGTCATGTAGAGAGGAGATACATTTCAAGGCGGACCCTGTGAAACTTCCATTTCTTTGGGTGGTACCTTCTCCAAGTATTTCCTAAAAAGAAGCCATTAAGTACTGACAAAATATGTCTAAAAAACATGATGTTCAAATAAACAAAAAAGGACACGGACTTCCCGGGCTATGTTACATTGAATAGGTAACGAGACAGGTTTCCATCTTTCTCCTTTTCAAATGCCAACTGAGAAACACCTCTGTGCTCAGCCTCCCATGCTGACATCCTGCTGAACTCAAACCACCTAAGACACATAACATCTTCCTCCTTGTTCCTTGCCTGCTTGTCAGCGGGGAGCACACTTTGCTAGAAGCAAAGGGTGCAGTTTTGAAAAGCCAGCAGAGGTGAAACTCTGGGATTTAGCCAAAGGAATTGTTTGAGAATTTTGGGGTTTGCCTTAAGACTTTGTGGTGAAGGATTGAGGATTGCAGAAATCCTCCATAGCTGCTGCTGCAGTTGCTGTTAAAGATAGGGAAATTTTTGGGACTGGTTTATTCAGAGGAATATAAAAAAAAATGTCAGAGCTGGCAGCAGTCTTGGAAAGGGAAAGTGCAGCGTGGAAATGCTTTTGTTTATTTGTAGTAAAATCCGTAAGAAGTATGGGGAAAATTGTTGTCTCTGGGTTACTCTGTGGGTTTGTAAGTGTATGATTGATAGTGTGTTTGATAGTGTGTTAATAGTATTAAGCTCCCTGCTCCAGTATTATCATTGAGAAATCTGGCTGGAAATTATTTGACTGATTGTATAATCCCAAGATTTATGCAGGCAGAGCCCACAGGGTGTATGCTGATG